AAAAAGACCTCAGTTGAGGGACTCTGTGCTGTAGATTAGGACTCGATTTTTGTAGTTACAGGAAGGTGTTTGGACAGAAAAGTTTATAACTGAAATGCCTGTGGGATCCTTGCTGTAGCAGTCCAAATTGCACTGTTATAAATTCGGTGTGTTTTAAACTTTCTACAACTTATACTGTATGTGATAATACACGTTTGGCATCTTTAGCATTTCCTAACTCACACAATTTAACTGCCTGGCTTGGTCATAAAGCCTTATCTCAGTTTTACCAACGTAAAGTCAGAATGACCCTGAAGAGGAGTTACTTTAAATTTTTATTAGTGCAAGTGAGATTAGAATTTGGCCAGCTCAGTTTCCCTCATGGAAAAATTTAGGTATCTCTTAGAAATGCTGCTGAAGCACATGGAGTCAGCCTGGATGCTGCTGTTCTGACCCCATGGACGTGGAGGGGCTGCCTCTGGAGCATCCAGTGAGGGCTGATGAATCACACCAGTACAGCCCAGTCCCTCAGATGTTTCATCCAGCCTGGACCCCAGTGAAATGAGGAGGATGACAGGCAGGCTGAGCAAATGAGGATCTCTCACTCTCTCCCTGGATGGTTTGGGTGTGCAGACCCAATGTTGGGCAGCAACGTTGTGTGCTCGGTGTGGTAGGGTAATGGTCCCTGCTGGCATGAGGAGCCCGTGCTATTCTGGTGCCACCAGGAAAGGCAAAGCCCATTAATCACTCCCTGGTAGAGCCCCTCAGCAAGTTTTTGCTCGCAGTCTTGTGCCTTAACACTGTGGTGCCTGAAGTTTACTAAAATATTCTAGCTACAAAGCATCCGAGCCTCCATTTGCACTTGCCGACTACAGATATATTTCACAGCAGGATGACAGGACAAAGAAAAATAAATGAATACTGAATTAATACATTTTAATGCTTTGGACAGGGTAGAGCTTTTCCGCCTTTATTCTCTTAAAAATAATTTTTACCTTGGGCTCAGTAAACAAAGCGTATGTGTTTTGTTGAAAGATTTACAATCTGTCACTTAAATCTCCCAGCACGGACCCTCGTTCTGCCCAGCCCTACCCCTAAGAGTCTGAAGACCTTTGTCTTGGGTGGTCTAGAACCTTCCCCAAAAAGCTTTCCAGGGAGGTCAGGCGTATGATTACGACACAAGAAGATACAGGCAACAACGTAATAGCCTGTGCCGGACGTGTGATGTACTGAAAATAGTGAACCCTGGAGAAAAACCCACCTCTGAAATATGTACCAATAACTCAAGACCCTTTAGTCAGCCTTCAAACGTGGGCCTGCTGCAGTTTAATAGCAGAAAACTTGCATCAAAAGGAGAATGCCTTTTAATAGCACAGCTTCTTCCCCATGTCGGTTCCCCTTATCTCGCGCCCAGACTTCAAAGCCTGGCAGGCACCTCCCGCGGTTGCGGGCCGCTGCTCCTCTTCCCTAAAGCGAGCCGCCGCGAAGCTTTAATTCTACAGAGCTTAGGAGCTTTGCAGGGCTGCAAACAAACGTCAAGGGACTGGCTTTTGGGGAAAGCCAAAAGTTTTTTTTAGTGAAGTTGGATCAGCAAAATTGGACTGCATTGAAATGGAGGGACAGTGGAGGGAATTCTTTATTTTTTTTTTTTCCTTTTGCTAGAATGAAAATGTTTAAAATTTGCATGTATGTGAGCTCCCTCCCTTCCCCACCAGAAAACCTTGTGGAAGAATAACCACAAGGCACTCTCCGATTGCCCATTATCCATATACTATCAAGCTGTTAATGACTCTAGTCTTGCAACAGGCCTGCTACCATCTCTGCCCTCGTTTTACAAAGGGAAAACAGAAGCAGAGCAGGTAAATCAGTTTATTCAGGGACAAGGAGTAAGTTGTAGATGGAGCCAGGCAAGAAAATCTTTTCTCTGCTTTCCCCCCTTCTCCTCAGCTTTAACCAGATTCGGCCAGTTTTTGCTGCAGGTGGCTCCTGATGTTAGATATCTTAAAGTAGCACCATCTGAATAATTGCAATCATTTTCCCAGACTGATTTGGGGAGGTTTGGGGGAAAAGAAGAGGTTTTAAAAATATGCCTACAGATGAGTCATGCTGGTTCTATAAAAGTCATCCTTGCAGGTGATTAGCACCTCCTCTGACAAAGGCACTGCAGTGGGATTTTAGAACTACTTTAAGGTCTGCAAAAATGACTTCTGTGGCAAATTGCAGCGCGGCGCTCAGCCCCAGCCCTTCCCTCCCTTGCCTCGAAAGGCCAAAACGAGTATTAGGAATAAATACTCACCAGTTTGGCATCCTTCCTACTGACGTCCTGCAGGTAGGGAACGGTTGCTAGCTCAGCCATGGCTTGATTAATCGTTTGGGACTGTTCCTGGCCTCTCTGCAAGCGGCCGAGGAGGCTGGCGTAATGCAACTTCTCTATCCCACGGGAACACGCGCAGAGCCGGTCCTGTTTTCCCAGGAAAAGCAAAGCAGGTTACAGGGGAATCATGAAAAAAACCACCCCACAGTTATCCTTTGAGTTCCGTGCCTTGAGGCTTATCAGCATGTATATTTGCGCAGGTAATGCTATAAGCAATATGGCATCCAGCACCTTTAAGATAATGTTGCTGACAATCCTTTATAGAGGGGGAAAAAAAAAATAATAAAAAAAGGACTTTCTTTCCACAATCTCTCTAGTGGTACTAGAAAAATAAATATGTAGTCATAATATATGTGAAGGGGAGACAGGAGATAACAAACATGAATGCAATCTTCTCATTTGGAAATGGCTTTTCCCTAATCCCCTCTGTTAAATATTATCTGACTTTTATGGATTGCTTTTAAAGTTTCAGTGAAGAGGTTGAGAAAAACGTTGCAGTGTGTCAGCTTACGGCTTGTTTGCAGACTAGGCAAATCCAGAGTGTCAAATATATAACCTTGAGGGACTGAAACCTGCAGAGGTGGTCTCTGATCCTCCAGGCAGCTAGGCACATGGTAAATTTTAAGCATGTGAATACAGAAACTCAGCCAAGTGCTTGCATAAAATCTCAGCACCTGCTGAAGTGTTTGACGGATGGCAGCCTTACCGCCATATTTTCAAAAGTATTCTGGTGCCAAAAATGCAAATAAGCACCCTGCTGAGATTTTCAAAAGCAATTTGGCCCAGATTCTCGACGAGATGTAGCCATTGCATATCTGAATGCTCAGCCCTTCCGAGTCAAATTTCCATTCGTCTAATCAGGGTTTTGAACGTATTTAAGTGCCTGAAATTCCAAGAATTGGCATCAATTTTCAAAACCACTTCCAGTATTTTTAGCAGACCTTTGTTCTGGCAGTTGCACGCTGATGCTGCCATTTCCATACACTTTCAGGTAGGGGATTTAAAATCCAATAGTATATTGAACAGGGTGAATAGAAAGTTTTGACTGACATTCATTTTTTCAATAAATGGTGTCCTGTTTTTAAAATTAGCTTCTCTTGGCAAAGAATCTCGGTCTTTTGGTTTGATCTCTATCTTGGTTTTCCAGAAATTTGTACTAGGCAAGCATCAAGTGGTATCAAAATGACTATCAACGTAGTTTCTTGTATCAAGTTTAAGAATTTAATAACAACGCTGTTCTTGCTTTCTATACATCTTACAAGAATAACAATGGAAAAAACTCAGTTTTCTTTTAATTCTAGAAAAATACAAATAATCCTGGTGTAGTTAATTTCACCCCTTTTAATACAATATCTAATATAATTGTAAAATAGTAGAAAATAAGATGAAACATTGGAGACCAACGGCAGGAATGCAGCTTTAATCTGGGAGCTCCAGGTAGGAAAGCAACTGGAAAAGGAAGAGCTGAGCCAACGAACTGGTATTTCCGTGAGCAGAGGGGGAGAATCAGACACTGTACAGGGAAGAGGAGCCCTGGTCAGCAGTTCTCTGAGTATCACAGATAGCTCCAGTCAGCTGTGTTTGGAGAGGTTAATTTAAACCCAAGCATCATGGAGCAGAGAAGCCAGCACGGTAGGAGATACCTCTTTTGAGAGAAGTGTGGTTTGATTAGTCTATTAATGAAAATGCCAAGAGCTTATTATTCTTCTCAATAAACATAATGCAAGGCTAAATTCCAAAGAGGGCAAACATCTGAAAAGGAAAGGAGAGATAAAAGACAATGATAACAGAAGGACCATTGTGTATAAATAGGTTCAAATAAGACTGGGGTGGCAATTAAGCTTCTTATAATTCAGGTTAAAAGGTCTGCAGTGTGTTTCAGCAAGAGTACAAGAGGCAGAAAGCCCAACTAGTTCAAAGATGGATTTTATTCAATTTATGAACAGGATACTATGCAACACCAAGGTGTATAATAGCAGGTGTTTTAACTTGAGGAGTCAGGAGAGCTCTTCCAGGTCTACCTTCTCCTGAACTTCCGTTGACCAACCTCTAAGAAGGGAGACAAGGACAACCTTTCTTACAAACTATTTTTATCACTTCAAGAGTTCTTTTCTGAGGACCGAATCTAGTATTAGTAGGAGACATCAGCAAGAACAAAAGATTTCTGTGATCCCTGATATGTGAAATTGTAAGTCTGACACAGTCTAGTTAACATGGCACGAAGGCGAGGAGCAAAATGGAGCCCCATCTCCACCTGATCATCAGTGTTTGAAAGCCAGAGAGCCGTGTCCCCAGGTGGAACTGTGTGCATTAAAATGAGGAGAAGCAATCAGTTAATGAGAGAGAAAGAGAGCTTTTATCAACATGAAATGGTTTCACAACATTTTAGATGCAGATAAAGGTTTTCCCCTGCTATTTTTGAAATCTGCCCAAAACCTTTTTGTGTAAGCACGAAGGAATGAGTATATTGAGTCATCAGCTAAGAAAGCAGGTAAAAATCCTCTATCGTCATGCTGTGTCTGTTGGGGGCTTCTCCAATGATTAAGAAAGTAAAAAGGCAAAAAGAAAACAATTTTTTCTCTGCTTGACTCTTCAGAAAAATACAAGAGCATGCCACGTAGCTATGGGAAACCAATTGGGCATCTGTGCCAACGTGCACTCTGTGGACATTGCAATGCTATTTAAGTTCATAGTAGGTTGGAAGTAAATAAATAAATAACCGTCAGTGGGGTTTTTTTTGGAAGGGATTAGCGGAGGCTGAACGTTGTCAGAGGTGGCGTTTCAGTGACAATGAAAAATGCAGAAAGGGAAAGTAAATAACTGGTGCTGGCAGGGGAAAAAAAATTCCACGGGGAGATGAACCATGTGATGAGAATCACATGAACTATAGCAGAATTCAAGGGACTACTTAAACCACAGTAAAAAAACCATAGTAAAGTGGCCAAGCAATCAGATGAAGATGAAACCAGCCCAGGTAGGCACAGTGAAGGTTAAGTAAAGAGCAAACTTAACTGGAGGCTTCAGTGGAAAAGAGTTGGCTCCTTTAACAAAGAGAAGAGAGAGGAATTGGGTAGCAAAAGGACCAGCAAATGCAGCAAAAGGACCAGCAAATGCAGTGTATGGAGTCACAGTTGCATCCTGGTTAGAAATGCAGGAACATGTTAAGGCAATAAATTAATAAATTACGATGCTGTTACTTCCTAGATGGGCCCCAACCCCATTCTCTGGTATTCCAAGGAGAATTTAAATCAAAAAAGTAAAAATGAGCAACTGATGGAGTTTGTCTTGAGGACTTTATTCTTAGCAGACAGCCTCACCTATGGTGGGGGTCCTTCCAAGAAAGCTTCCCCAGAAAAATTTTGCTGCACGAATTTCCTTTAAACTAAGGTGGGGGGGGAAGTGTTTGTCCCCAGAGGCATCTTTGAAGACCTTGCTGGGACATTTTCATTCCTCTGACCTTGGGCTGAAAAAGGAAAAACACCTACAAAAAGCAGATTAGCCTGTTCTAGATGGAGTTTACCTGCTTTTGCTAAATACCCAGCACTAATAACCAGAGCAAAGATAGGACAGGTTTTCATTGCAAAAAGGAGATGGAGAGCATGTGAGAGGAGTGAATCATGTGTCCTTTCATGTATTGAGAATTTTGGGATGATACCCCCACTTTTTGCGTTTATCTATACTCGTGAAAGGAGTCATCCCTTATGCCACTTCTATTTATAAATAAAGTTTAATTGCTGAGCGCTGGGAGTGCTAAAGAAAAAGAAAAGCAAAGTGGCTGGTCAGCCTGGATTTAAAGCAGGATCTGTCGTATCTAATGCATGTGGCATGTTCAACCATCAGCTTTAAGAGCACCACTTTGCACAAGCCTGGAATGCCCCCCAGTAGTTCTTTTCTACTGTGGATTCTTTACTGCTATTTTTCAGCTCAAAATCTGAATGAAGTTATGCCTTGCAAGCAGCTCTGTAGTGTATTGCAATAACAAGTGGAAAGAATCCATCATAATGTTTCTTTAATGCCCTTGGTATCCTCCAGAAAATGTGCGTGCTGAAATCTGTATGTAGTAAACACTTCCCCTCTACTTAAAAAATAGACAACAAAGCAGGGAGGTCTGTAAACGCACACATCATGCTGTGAATCATATGGCAGGTTTTGTTCACCTTTATAATATGAGCTGTCTAATAAGCCCCTCTGGCCACTGTTTCTCCTCTTAAGTGGCATCATGTGCCATTGGCAGGGGGCTGCAGCGGGAGAAAGGCAGACTCGGTGTGTACAAAGCAGCAGCAATTACCCCGGTGAAACCACTTGGTGGAATAACCGATGGTAATCTCGAGTGGAATATGAGTAGCTGAAGGTCTGAGTGATATATATATATATATATCTTTTAAGGCACGTACAATAACCTTTGTGTCATGGTATGGATTTCTGGGGAGATGAGGTTTATGGCATTTCCCCACCAGCAGCAAACGATGCTTTGTGGGGACTGGGCTGTGACATCCTCTCTCAAACGCCTTCTGCTTTACAGTATATAAATGTCCCCTTGATTCAAATGGGACTGGTTGTTCTTTATGAGGAAGTGGGGACACACACTCACACAAAATAAAAAGGGCTCTGCTTTTTTTTAACCTTTACCTTCATGTTTTGCCAACAGTGGTGCATGTGGAAATCATATAATTAACTCTACGTTACGTAGCTGAAAAACTGGTGTGGCAGAATTGACTTACGTTAGGTGTTGCCATGGCTTAATTAGCTCTGCTTTATCACTGAGATGTTTGTTTGTTTGTTTTTTTTTTTAAATCTGATTAGGACGAGCATTTTGGGTTGTACGTTTGTGTCTGCAAATGAAGAAGATGGAAGACAGGAATGTTTGTTGTATTAAAACCAAATATGTTCTTTTGTCTTAAAGTAAGTTGTAAAGCTAAAGTCTGAGTTTGAAGGTTGTTTTCCAGAAGTTTTTAATTTAGTTTGTGTGTGATGGAAATACGATGAAATCTCATTTCTAGCTTGAAGAAAATCTTGGAATACTTTCAAGGAAGCAAAAGTGGCCAAATCTCTGCCAGGCCCATAAAGAGATTTTAATCACCAGTAGCAGAGAAGTGCTGGCTCTGGGCCTATCTGTATTATCAAGTCTAATTGGCTTTGTCATTTGCTCTCAGGGTCAGAGGTTCTGTCTTGCCCGGATCTTTCAATGCTCTGAAAACTGAAGGGAAAGTGAATATGTTTCCACCAATAATAGATGCAGAATTGGCAGCTGTTTGTTCTAGCTCAGTGATATTTTCTGCTATCTTTGGGCTTTCCTCCTCTCCCTTAGAGCTCCCATACTGACCTCCTGGTGCCTGGTTAGAAACCTATAGGGCTGTGGTTCAGACCTGTTGGCCCATTCTTGCTGCTGCTGGAGGTGGCCCTTGGGCAGACCTTGTCTGAACGGCAGGGATGCTCTGCTGACCTCCTTGGAAAAAAGGCAAGTTTGCTGCTTGCTTCGGTGCTGCTGGGATTTCAGCCTGTATTTTTGGGAACCCTCTTCTGTTTCAGCAAGAATATTTAAATATTCTTTATATGGGCGAGGTTTAGAGTTGGTAGAAAATATTACTGTGTAGGAGCAGTGTAAATTCATACAGCTAGTGGGGACTGGCTTGGGCAAAGCTAACACACCACTCTGCTCCCGTCTCTTATGTGATCAATTTGGTTTCTTTTCCCTATATCCTGGATGCCAGATACTGCATATCTCTGCTTAAACCATGTGGTCCTGTTTCTCCAAGTCCATTTACAGAACCAAGGAGTTATAGGGAATCCAAAAGAGACCTGATTGCAAAGGTTCTTCTCTTCCTGAGACTCTTTAGAGACTCAATAACTGCAATAGAGGAATCTCACCTCTAAAAGCTCAATGTTATATCCAGAGAGAGAATTGTGGGGTCAAAAAATTTTGTAAAAATTGGAGTTTTACTAGGGCTTTCAGAAGGACCAGGGTTTTATTCTGTATCCAGCACTCAGCCCACTGTCTGTTTATACTTCTAGCTCCTTACATGCTGGAAGTGCAATGCACACAGCGATAACAGGTATTTCACTTTCCCAGAGATGCCACTTCTCTCAGCCTGCACATCAATAACTTGGGCTTTTTGGTCATCTGGAGCCAACAGCGCATGGCTTCAGGAGAGAACTGGAAAGAAGAGGCTGTGTTTTTCCCTGGGGATGTCTGCTCTCAGCCTGCTCCACCTGCCTCCCACCGAGGCAGGTGCTTTATGAGCACCCATTTTGGCCAAGCACTAAGCACCTTTGCCTCCCACCAGGCGTTGTGAGTTGAGGCACTTACTGTTGTTTCAGCAGCTGCTCTCTGAGAGTGAAGGAGACAGAGCTTCCCCAAATATCTAGCTAATGCTTCTTCCTTGCTCGGGGTTGCTAAGTAGCAGTTTTTTGTCAACCTCCTATCTGGTATCAAAACCTAAGAATATAAATCCTGTGATTTGCTAAGACACCCCTGACGAGGAAATGGTTCTGATTCCCTCAACATACAGAAAACTAAAAAACTGTTATTGCTAGGGAAAAAATGTTAACATTAGCATTTACAATCTGGGCAGGAGAGGCTTCTTCCACTTATTTTCAGGAGAATAATTTAAGAATTGCATTAAAACAGTCTAGTCTACATGCAAATTTGATTTTTGACCTTTTGTGCTAATCAAAAGCCATGGTGCTAAAAAGCTGTGTACATTATTGCAGAAAGTATGGAGTAGAATTAACTAATATACCTTCAATATGGTTGTAACAGATTTGAAGGTTGTTTCACATCCTTCACTGTATAGGGATCAGGATCTAAATCACTAGAAATCCTTCAAGTAGCAGTAATTAACTCTTGATGGAGATCGTGATGACACGTGTAGTATACTATGGGTATTAAACATAGCCAGTAGTTTTGCTGGTTATGTGAAAGAGGGATATAATATAATAGGCCATAAAGACTTGAGAAAATTGCATGCAAAGTGATTTAAAATAAACTGGGTACACTGTTAAATAGTTAGGGCTACTTTTTTAAAGTATCTAAACCCCAATTGAACTTTATTCGTAATGCAATTCATTGAGCATTTCTGGACACAGGAGGAGCATGTGCAGAACGAATTACCCACCAAAAACCACAGGTTATTCACACACTCACAGGCTTCTGCCGCCACACACACTACACACCAGAAAGTGATTTTGATACTCACAGTTAATCTGGTGCTTCTTATAAAATCCATTACTGGCAAGATCCTTTTCCCGGTGTTATCCCAATATCTTTGTGTTTCTTCAGTTGTGAGATGAGCGAAAGGTGCTTTCCGGTCTAGGAAATGAAATCACAAAACCATATACTGTGTTTATTCCTATACATCTTCCACAGAGGGTCGAGCAAGATGGTGGGTGAACTGGAGGAGGAGAGAGGAGGATGGGGAGAGCTGTCTGGACAGTCAGGGCTGCTGGCACAGAGAAATGGGTCCTGAGAAGCCCCCCAACCCCCTGATTCAGCAAGGAGGATGGAGGTCACCCCTGAGCTATCCCAGCTATTGAGCAAGTTGACGTACCTGAAAAGACTGGCACTGTTCTACTTGACCACCTTTCCAAGGTTTTCCCAATATGTTTATTTCGGAAACCCAGTGTCAGCAAGTACTGCTGGGGAGGCAGGGACGACCACTCTGCCGTCTGTGGCAAGGTGTGAAGTCCATGAGGATCTGCAATATGGAAAAGAAAATAATTTCCACTGTCACATTTCTTTTCAGCTACAAGAGAAGTTACAAGGTTTTTTGCCCTTTTTTTTTTTTTTTGAGGAAAAAATAGGAAATCTAAGATGGAGTGAAATGTAATCCAGAGAACTTGCCAAAACAGAGGTGGCCAAACCAACCAATCCAGCTACAGCTGGGTTTTGAAATTCCAGACTCCGCAACCTTTTGCATCAACAGCTTAAATTTTGCTGATGCACAAGACAAAACGTGTTCTTCCCATTTATGCACTTTTTCAGTGCTGATCATCCAAAACATTAATAACTCACCACTTCAGTAACATAACATCCTGATCTTTTAACTGCGAAAGAAGCTGTTTTGTCATCCCCTGAATTTATGAGCTTTGATTTCCTACAGATCTGTGCTTTTTACCATCACCGCCACCGTAATCCCAGGCTTCCTATATGTACTTTCCCCTCCACCCAGCTGGCACGTGGCAGCCTGTGCTGTGGCTTGTCCAGGCTTTGTCACTGCTGCTGCCAAAAAAACCTGTGTATCAGCCGAGTGGGTCTGCCCTGACCTCGGCAGGGACAGATGCTCAGAGCAATTGTACAAACCACTTTTGTTTAGGGAACCAAGCCGGTCCTTTCCTCCCTTCCCTTCCCCCTGCAAAAAAAAAAAATAAACCTAGATTGAATGTCAGTGTCACTTCTCACAAAGGAGTGCTCTGTTTTCCATCAGCTCTGCTTTTAAGATGCCAGGCTGTGCGGTCACAGTGACAAATGGAGAACCCCACTCAGAGCTCTCCGGACATACCCCTATATAAATCAAAGCGAGTGGACCTGATATTTCCCTTGCAGCGTGTTCTGCTTCTGATGGATTCTCAATTTTGCGACGAGCTGCATGGTGCACTTGGATTTAAATGCGTATCAGCTCCTTTTTCCTTGGCAATAAGGAGAACTTTGAAATCAATTCAGTCCTTACACTCGAACAGAACTTGGGCTAAAATTGGATGGACGATTGTTACACAATGAGAAGGTTATTTAAAATAACGTGTTTGTGAGATGTCTGGCATTTCACACCCACTCTTAAAATGGGGTTTATCTCATATTTTTAATTTCACCTATGTGAGACACAGACCTGCAGGTCGAATGGTTGGTGGTACCACGCTGACAATGAGGTAAACTTGTTGCTTATGATGGGTTTTTTTTGGTGAGAAGTGTAATGCTAGGTCAGATCTGAATAGATAAGTTGAGAGAACCCTAGTGCTTCGGTTGAGTTCAGCTAACACTGTTGTGAGTTATCTCAGCATTGAGTTTAGGAAAAGGAGCTGCATCTGCTCTGGGGGGGTTTCCAGAACAGAAAGGAGGGAGGTCGGGAGAGGTCCCACCTGCCTGAGATCTCTCTGACTCTCAAAACTCCAATACACGTTGTTTTTTCTTGGATATCTACCCCATTTAATTCCTAGAAACATCAGTAATCCCAGAACCCACACTCAAAGAAATTTGTGTAAAATCAAAGCAAGTCTTCTAACAAATAGATTTTAGAAAACCAGCCTATTTGAGGGCAGAATGGGCTCTATTCAATCCATTTTATAATTGACTAAAGTACTATAGAACTGGGATCTTTTGCCTCCCTTTTTTTTTTTCCTTCTTCCTTTTCCTTATTGGGAGGATTAAGAAAATGACTGGTGACACATTCAGAGTCATTCGGTGATTTATGAACACAAACTGAGTTTCAGTGTATCACTCGCACATTTTTTGCAGCTTATCTGCTCCTGGAAGTCTCACCCTTGCTGTATATTTGGGAGATTATGTGAAATATGAATGCATCTTTATAAAAATCAGATTCAAAGAATTTTATTTTATGCTTTTTTTAAATCTAAATACTTTTGTCCCTGGAAATTCTCCACAGTCACATCAGCAAGTAAACTGTAGACAAGGATTTTACAACCTCTGTGATAGATAAGTCCACATTTTCCCTCTTTGAACCACCCCAAAGCTACTGCCAGAAATTCAATACACGGGTGGTCTGCAACTTGCAACACATGAGCTAGTTTTATACTGGTTTCCTAAAGCGAAACAAAAATGAACAAAACGAGTTTACTTGTGTTAAATATTTGCATGGTTTTGTGGTAAACACTTGGTTTCTTAATTTCTATTTGTGTTTTTCAAATAGGTTTTCTTCTCCTCCCTAAAGGCAGAATGTGTATTCTTTCGGAAGCCTTATTTATTTGCGGAGTGCTGGGACTCAGTGCTGCTGCGAGGACCAAGTCATCATCTCTGACCTGGGTGTAAATCTCAGCCTTTCAGACCACCCTGCTGGAAGTGGCAGTGAGAGGTAAGCTGCACATTTTGTTTGTGTGATGAAGGCAGAGGCTTTCAAGAACTTGACCTAAGAAATGTGCTTTTCCCTTTACGTTTCTCAATCACCAACTCAAAGCCGAGCATTATCAGGGTCAACTACATTCCAAGTCTCCAGGTTAATGACAGTAAGAAATGCCTTTTATCCCTCTGCCCCTCTTTTGCCTAAATGGCATGCCCATTTCTCTTGAAATAAGGCTGTGGTCACTAGAATTTAGGTGTCAGTTTACTCCAGGAGATGCTACTTGAGTTCACTCTACCAGGAGATGACAGTGGGCTCTGCAAAGCCCTTGTTTGCTCTGGATCCTACTTGTCTTCAACAGGCTAAAGGAAACCTGGCTCTGTATTCCCACCCCTGCATCTGAGATGCTCTCAAACGTGGTGGTCAGTCCATTAGCGCTCATAGAAGGGAGGGTATTTTTGGAAAGTGAAGACCCTGCTGCAGGGATGACCATCGGTGACCGATGGGAATGAACCTGGATCTTGCTCTCACCACAATACGCTGCCAATCTACTTTTGAGTGAAAGATTAGTTGCAATAATGAAATTCAACAACTGAAACACGAGGTTTCATGGATAAAAATAATCTTTATGGGGATTTGCAGTGTAAAGTCTGTGCTTTGCTGAGTACTGATTTGATTACCTAAATCGTGTACAATCATAGAGCAAATCTCAGAAATTAATTTTCTCCCCCAGAAGTGTAGAAACCTACAGGCTCATACTCCAGGCTCTCTCAAACTCTTTAGGTCAGCCACACACACAAACAGTGCTTAAAAGCATGTGAAATCTACTGTTACCTGTGTATATGTGCTCCACGTAATCAGGGTGCCTTTTAGCAAACACATCTTTTATCTTGTCCTTGCTGTCAGCCTTGACTTCTGTCACAAATGGTGTGTACATAACTGAAAAAGATTCTTCTCTAGTGATGGCTTCTTCAATCATAGCCTAAAAAAGGCAAAGAAATGATACATTTCATGTCGGTTACTGGCTAGTTAAAAAAAAAAAAAAAAAAAAAAAAAATTACTTTCACAGATGATATTTTCCCTTTAATAATTGCACAGTCATGCAAAGATAACATATTTTGGTCTTGAATATTAATTAGAGGGGAATTTAAATTAGTTCCAGAAAACACTGCCTATCTATACTCAGAAAATCAATTTAATGGAGAAAGAACATTTGTAAACAGTTTTCAGTGCAGCGAGCCTATGTCTTCAATGAGGAGAGAAGTATTAGATAAATTATCTTTTAGATGAAAAGAAGAAGTGATTCCATGCTTTCTGAAGGTCACATCTTTCATCTGAGGGTTTTATTCAGTCCTTGGGAGCTGGTTAAACAATACTAAGCATTCATATTGCCCCTTGGGTTGGCATGAATCAGACACTGTGTCTATACGGAATATTAGTCTTAAAATATTACATTTAAACACCATTTGCATTAAGAGTAAAATTCGGTCCTGTGCAGAGGGCAACACGAAGCTTATGAACCTTGTCATCCCTTAAAAATGACTCAAATGATGCATTGGGCCGGTCTGATGCAGAGAGGTGGATTTCACACTCGGTGGACCCCGATGAACTGGTGGAGGCTGGAGCTGCCAGGAGGAGCCACCAGCCTGGAAAGAGCCTTCCTTGGTGCTCTTATCGACCAGTGCCAGGCAGGTTTAGCTGCAGTTCCTCCTGGCTTGGGGTTGGGGTAAGTTCACGTTCAGCACTGCTTCGGTTGCATCTGTTGTTAACAAAGATTTTTGTCTTCTTGATGTGGACGGTCCTTTCTGGAAACTGGGGGAACTGTGAGGCTTCATTAATGTATCGTGGCAAAGGCGTAAACATGGGTAATAGTGACAATGCTCACACAAGGTTAATAGAGACAGAAAAGCACGAAAGGAAAAGATATATATATTTTTAACAGGGTGTGTGAGTCTCCCAGATCACCTTATACACTGAAGTGATTCACAGAAAGTATCGCTATGGGACTAGCTTGGTGCTTTATTGACAAGCCCTCACTTTTGTTCTCCTGCCTGTCCTCCACCTATGTAAAATTATCCAAGACATAGCGTGCCTCTGTGAGTCATTTAGCTGACAACTGCTCCCACCAACCCAGAATGGGAGGCTGAGAGTGCCAATCAGTTAAGTATCTGTGTCCTTCTCATTAATGGCTTTAGACAATGGGTCCTCTGATATGGTCTTATGCCGTTTTATTTCCATCCTGTTTATTGGTGTGCAGAAGTACCATAGAAATGCTATAATGGTTTTTGAGCAGGTATTGGGATGGGCTGCCACGCATGCACCCTGAGTGCTCTTACAGGAAACACTCTGCCTGGATGTTGAGGGTATCACTTGAGGATTTGTTTATATTTTAGATTATTATATTTAGCCAGTCCATTATCCCGCATTAACTAGAATGGAAGCAGTCTGGAGTGGGCAGTATTTAGCGCTGGAAAAATTAACAAGATCCCAATGTGTGTAATAGTATCATGATTACCTGGGCAGTAATTACATTCCCCTCCATCCCCATGAGGAGGAGTTGCAGCTTTCCACGGGCACAGCCCTGTTATCCATGGTTGATGCCACAGATCTGGGGGTTTCAGACCAGAAAGCAGCAAGTGTGTCCTCCTGCCAAAACCTCGGGAGCCTATGAACGGATCTGTGCCCATTCCCCCTGAGGGAATACTTACCAGTCTGCACTGACTTATAGAAAACTGATTTTAGGGTTTCATATTTCTATGGACTTTAATGATCTTGTCATTCAGGCCCCTTACAGGATCAGTAGTAAAACAATGGTACCAATCTAGCTTTCCAAGGTACATTTTCCAAAAAACCGAGGCCTACTTGTTCAAGTCTTAGTGAATTTCATGTGTAAATATAGACACAGAAATCAGTCAGCCTCATTTTGTGTGAGATGTTTGGTATTCTGCTGATTTTCTAGAGTTTGGGAGGCATTTCCTAACCTGGATCAATACGAGCGTATGAATGTATTTTTTGGTGTATCCATACACTTCAGATTTAAAATACATGGAGCGAGGCAGCAAGATGAAAACATGAGAGGCTCTGTATTTTGCCTGCAAAGTTCACTTTTGTGTGGCTTTGTCATCCTCAAGAACAGCTCAAAGTCATGCCTATAATATCTGTGCATCGCCATGGACCCGTGGCTACTCTGCACAGCGGGCAAATAGTGACTAGCTCAGAGGGCAATAATGGTAAAATGTCAGCCAACAGGGAAAAGAATAGATCTGTAGCTTCCAGTCAATACCGCTACTGAAGGTATTATTATTACCCAAGAGCATTTTCTTCCCCCCCCAAGCTACTGACCCTGGACATAGATGTTATTTGGTTTATTATCCTCTTGGATTTTTATGGGGTAAAGTCTTAAAGGATATAAAAATTTAGCACATAAAAACTTTGGAGGAGAAAACTTTATATGATGAAATCCCTAAGGATTTTTCTCCTTAAGCCCTTATGCACTGAAGTACGTGTCCGTGGATGAATATCTGCCAACATGTCCAGGAAACGTGGTTGACTGGACATCATTTGTCGTGCAGCTACTCAAGATACAGTCACCCTGTGGAGAGGATTTCAAGGGCTTCAATGGAATTTCAAAATAGTCATAGGAGAGAGGACAGGACGACTGGTTTTTTTCCCATTTGCATGAGTTTTGGTGCCTTTCCATCTGAAGGATCCCGTCTGCAATGTTCTTTCAGATATGTCAGGGAAGACGGTGCTGTTCTGGACTCAGAGTGGAAGAAGTGTTGGGCTCTTTCATGAGTATGGAGGCAGCAGCTAAACTGATAATGATGATAAAGAAAGTGGAATTTTTGTGCGTATCTTGCAAATGAGCTCTGCAGTGGTGTCCTGTCACATGGTGCTACACTCCAGCCTTCAGTTCCAGCAGAGGTAGGAAAAGTGGAGTCCTTGAAATGACCTTAACGTGTAAGAGAGAGCTCCTTTAACAATGTACAACAATCTAAGGACTGTGATAAACTTAAGTCCATTGAATGTGATGGTTTACCTCGGCAGTGGACAAAATCTATCCCTTCAGTGAAGATGCAAGAACTGTCTCAAGAAGCAGTTGCAGAGTAATCTGATGATAGGGAACATCTTTTTGTAGTTATGGGACTGACTCACGCTCTGCTATGTCAGGAGGTTTATATCTCTGTTTTGGAAGTGTGGGGAATCAGAGAAAGTCTGCAGAGAAACCATCTGGAGACAAAGTATCTCAAGGGGTATTTATATTGTCAGCACTTCTATTAAAATAGCAGTTAATTCTTTCATGAAACACAAGCGTTCACAAGGTTTGAGGGATTATATTGCTGTTATGACAATTAAAAAGCCAAAAGACATTCCTAAATGACAAAGTCTATTTTGATCAAGGTTTTAAACAGATATTTGACCTAACACCACATACTGCTCTTCTCTGAGCACCTTGACTCTGCAATATCCTTGCATTCTACCGTATCAAGTAATGTTGTATTTCACAGACTTCTTAATAAAAGACTTTTTAGCCTAAACAATCTTATATTGTCCCTTCAATACGCACTAAAATTCTGTTAAGAGCTCATAAAATGAATAGGTAGATGCACAAGAAACAAAGTTTTTCTGTGCCAACTTTTGATGGCAAATGATATAACTACTTAAACATTTTTATGAAGCTCTTGCCATTTTGCCTGCTTAGAGCAGACATAGAAGAAGAAAAATGGCACTGTATCAGCAACAGTGACAGTAGTTTTCCCTGCTACAGTCCCTAACCTTAATCCTCTTTAACTACAGAAAGGTTTAATTTGGAAAATCCAATTATCTTGACATCTAGAATTAGCCAAAAATTTAGATATCTTTCTAGTGCCTTATCTCGCAGCCGCAGTGCACACTCAGCCACTGTCTCATTTACAGTGCAGCGGGAATTGATGCTTTTATTGATGATTTTTATTAATACAACGATATCAGTCAGGGTAAAGCCGTTAGCCTCTTCTATGAACTGCTTCCACTCTTAGGCGGGTAGTTAGAATTATGGGTGCACTGCGGTGAGACCTATGCGCTTTTCTCTATATCTTCCCAACCATAAAGAAGTAGCTGGCAGCCCTGCCACTAAGTCTGTTGCTGTTGTGATATGAATATCTTCTCACCAGCATGATCTTCTTACATCATTTATATATATATATATATTTATTTTTTTTTCTGCAGGGAAAAATAAGTAGACAGAATGCCAGAGCATATCCTTTTCTCAATATGTTTACCGCATGAATAAATCATGTACCATACAATAGAGGAGAACTTTCTGCTTATCTGCCGTGTAATGCCTCCCCATTAATGTAGGTCACATCAAATATCAGCTTATTTAGGTTCTTAAGTTATTAACGTATTTAAGTCTCTGCGAGTTATTTTGTATGCAGTGTATTCTGCAGGCAGATTTGCAGAGCACCACAGCGATAGATCCGCGTGTTCCGCTGACTTCCGACGGGCAGACGTATTGCAGATGGGTTACCTTAAGCTTCAAGTATCTCTTTGATACTCCAGTAAGTACCTCTTTATGTTTCGGAAGAAAAGAAATCCGTGCTTTATACCCTTCCAAAGAGATCGCTACTTATTAAAGAAAAACCCCGGAATACACAGAGTATGGAAAAAGCTGGAGGCTGCTCTTGAAACTCCTTGAAACTCCCTGTCCGTGATGCCAGCAGGTGGAAAAGTGGGGACTGAGCAGGAATGGGGAAATACAGCTCTACTTCGGGGAACCCCTCTGCCCACAAGCTGTCCTCTGCCCCTGGTCTCACAAACTCGGGTGCATGGAGAGTGCCGTGGGAGGACCTCAGCTCCTGTGTCACTTCCTACCAACCAAGAATCTTACCATTTCTTCCCAGCACAGGGGCAAATGGGAAGGATTTCAGTGTTTCTTTGCTGTGGTGGAGCATCCCTAGTAGGACCAAAGAAATGAAGGTTTTATGTGCTTTGCAGGGCTGA